AATTTTCACTTATTCTTAAATGTCTCGATCTCCCTTGAAAGAGAGCATAACTCTTTAACTGAACAAACTTAAACACAAGAAATATGGAGATAACAAACAGTATTCAAGCTCAGAAGTCCATTCAAACATTACAAATCAGGAGCAGAGCAAATACGGACCTTTAAAACATCAGAGATAGGATCATGTGCCATTGAGGAGTGAGCATCCCCTGCCAACCTGTCACACCTGCAGTGTGCTCCTTGTCATGATTGGGAAAAATGGAGAAATCTGTAGAAAGAGCAGTGTGTAAATAATGGCCTAACAATAAGTATGAAAAATGTCATTATTTCAATGTACTACATTTCACCCAAAGATACTTTGTAGTGAAATTGACCACACAGTTTTGGAGAAGAAGATAAAAATGTGAAAAGTCTACAGATAACAATGAAACACAACAAACACACTGACCCCTTTTCAATCACAAAAACTCAGGTGAGCTAAAAAAAAAAACATGTTGTTTCTTACATTATTTCAAACTGTATTTGGTTTGCTAGCTAATATTAACTCGAATGCTATGTAGTAACAGTCAATGAACATAAGAGATGTTACCTATGTGTACTATATAGCTAGCTAAGTGTACATATACTTTCAGATTAGAAAAGTTTACTGGTATAATTGTCTTAACATTAGAAAATGTAAATATTATTCATTAATGACTCAGACTAATTTTGATTAATGGTGTCAGATATATATACAGTACCGACCAGACACAACCTAACACCAGAGCGAACCCAAAGCGGACCCCGGGTTCGCTTTCTGGGTTCGCTCGGGGTCCGCTGCGGGTCCGCTTTCAGAAATTTTGGGTTCGCTCTGGGTTCGCTTTGGGTGCGCTTCGGGTTCGCTCGGGGTCAGCTCTAGGTCCGCTAGAGCGAACCCGGCGTTCGCTTTCTGGGTTCGCTTTACGCACTCATGCGTGAAGCGGACCCCGCTTTAATCTTGCCGCCAGTAAGCCCCGCCCCTTGTATATTCCAAATACAGTAGCGAAATCGATCATTGTTTCTGAGGCGATCGATACATGTGCATGTACAATGGCTGCAACGTTATTGTTGACAACATATAGGAACGATCACGTTACACGAACGATTTCGCAAGATTAATCCTTCAATCACTCGATTCTTCATGTTACACGAACATTCACGACTGTTACAGCAAACGCACGATTTTTGTACGCAAAATAGTTAAAAATATTTAGGAGTGGATATTTTTAAGACGAAATAAGGCTTAATTTATTTAATAGATATTTTAGATTAGAAATATTTACTGGTGAAATTCATCGACTTTATGAAACTGAAAGAAAAAATAAAATATTTAGAAATGAATATTTTTGAAACTACATGTAAATAAGACTTAATAGTCATTTTAGATTACAAATGATTATTTTTGTAAATCTCAGACTTAGGAAAATTGTTTTTTTTTAAATGTTTTTGACATATAAACATGTAATTTATGATCGAATGCTGCATTTTCTATCACATGATATACAAGTACATGTAGGTTGGTCGTGAATTTTGATTCAATTGGATTTTATGATATGCAGTAAGGGGGTAGATTTTTAAAAATGGCCTAAAAATGAATTATACTATAATCATCTTTCCATTTATGAATTTCAAAAATCAGCAATCTGTTTTAAAAAAATCATTAATTTGCAGAAATGATATATATAAAAAAAATAATAACAAGTATCAGGGATGAAAAGTAACCCCGACAATCATGTCGTGTACATTTGCCGACTAAATATACGTAAGTATCGGGATTTGTTTTTTTTTTTCTTTCTTTTTTTTTTTTTAAATATACATTTTTGATGTATTGATATAAAAATATCATGACTACAATTAGCAGTTAACATGATTAACATCAGAGAAAAATCGTTAAACATCTTAAATACGCTTTATCAGTAAAAGTTACGATATTTTAAGAGAATACAATATTGTACGACTTACTATTTTGCTTAGTTTCTCCGATAATTAGTTCGTTCAATTATGTAAACCGCGCTTCATTTTTCTTTTTATTTCAGTTAAAAAAAAAGCTAAATCAAGCTTTACATTATTTTTTGTAAAAGATTAATCAAATTAGTACCATAATGTAGTAGTTTGCGATTGGACATATTTGTACATGCACATATATGCTGTACATTCATTTTTTTTTTTTTTTTCAATTAAGAAGATCAATTATTTTGATGTTGATCTGGATTTAAACGAAAATGTACATTAGAATTATAAAAATAAAATAATAGAATAAAAGCACGTACATATACATAATCTTGTACAGTATCTTGAGATGATGAAATGCTATAATTTATCAGAAACCATTTTTTTTGTTTTATGTAACAATTGTAATAACCATTGCTTTCTTTTTTATTTCTTTCATACATTAGGGTATGTTTTGTGTGATAAATTTACGCAATGTATATTAATGGATTTTGAAAATGAAAAATAAATAAATAAATGTGTAAATATAATATGCTATCTGGATAATTAAAATATATTAATTTAGTTGTTTTTTTTTTTGTTTTTTTTTTGATAATGTTTAAATAGTTTCACACTGTACATTAACACGCTTTGCTTGTACAATGTTTTATTCACATCGAATGACAAACTGGCATGCTGATTGGTCGACCCGCTGATTGGTTAACACGTTTTATCGCTAATCCTGATTGACAGCTCTGTTACGTAACACCAAACGCGTGTTCGCTCTCTGGGTTCGCTACTGAATTTGGGGTTCGCTTTCGGCGTTCGCTCTGGGTCCGCTGCGGGTTCGCTCGAGGTCCGCTGCGGGTTCGCTCCGGGTTCGCTATAGCGAACCCCAAGCGAACCCAGAGCGAACCCAGAAAGCGAACCCGGGGTGCGCTCTGGGTTCGCTTTCTGTTAGGTTGTGTCTGGTCGGTACTGTATGAACCTATCATAAAACTAGAAATATGTCCATAGGACATGAATGCCCCACCAAGGGTATATTAGTAATGCAACATGAAAATCTGTATTAGTGTATGAAGTTTAATGAGAATACCTTGATGAGTTTCTTCAAAATTGAAATTGAAATCTAAAAAATTGGATACAAATGATAAATTCTCACCAAATTATGTATAAGTGCATAACCTTACATAAAAATATCTTAAATGATTTCTTTAAAACTAAGCAAAATGCAAATTTAAGAAAAGTGAGGTCAAAGTCATAGGAAAGTTCAAGGTCAAAAGTTTTTGATACATTGAATAACCCTCACTAATACGTATCAGCATATTATGAAGTTTGATAAAAATATCTTGAATGGTTTATTCAAAACTGAGCTATACATTAATTTAAGAAAATTGAAGTCAAGGTCAAAGGAAAAGTCAAGATCAAAAAATATTGATGCATTTGAAAAGCTTATATCAGTATGTATTAGCATATGAAGTTTGATAAAAAAAAAATATCCTGAGTGATTTCTTTAAAACTGAGCTAAACATAAATTTAAGAAAAGTGTGGCCAATGTCAAAGTAAAGGTCAAGGTCAAAAAATGTTGATGCAGTTGAATAGCTCTCATCAATATGTATCATCATATGAAGTTTGATAAAAAATATCTTGAAAAGTTTCTTTGAACTGAGCTAAACGCAAAGTGTGATGGAATGATAGAAGGATGAAATGACAGAAGGATCGAAGAACAGAAGGACAGAAGATGAACATGAGAAACTCTATAAGCCCTGGCCATATTCATGGCAGGGCATAAATAGCAAATAAGGGAAATTGAAACCAAGTTTCTTTATCCAAAGGAAAATATCAATTTTTATCAAATATTCTATAATGACACCAGTTGATAAAAAAACAAACAAACAAACAACAACATGTTTAAACACTAAAATGTTTTGATTTCTGGAGCATGAGAAGGTCATTGCTGATTAGGCATGTAATACTGGAATACTGATAGGGTATTATTGGAAGTTCATCAATCACAAAATTTTAATCCCTACAATTATACACAACAGCTGAGCTTATACCAACATCATCATAAACAGACTCAGGAATCAAAATAAACCACTGGTTTCCTACACTAGAATGCACTCTATTTAAGCATATTGGTTCTCTCCATCCAACACCAGTGTTTTACTGCTCGCACAGAAGTTCACATCATTTTTCACTTTGAAATGAGCTAGCAGCAGATGTTAAAGGTTTACCATACATTGGATGACACTGATGTATTTCCATCAAGTTTATCAATAAAATACTGATGGATCATATAGTGCAAACTTCCCATAAATGTCCCTTTTTAAAAAAAAAAAAAAACTACAGTAACTTGAAAGTCTGAGAGTATATTATAAAGAAAAACAACATAACTTACAAATGCTTCATTTCAATCAAGTAGCATCTGAATGGCCCAAAATTCATGAAAACCTTCACGCAGGTCCAAATGTTCTCAATCAGCCAGATGATGGTTCATCCATGTACTTTTGATGGTTCATCCATGAAAAGGTGCTATGCTGAAAACTTTTATTTGAGTCAAGACAAATTTGTCATGACCAAGAAAACATGCAAAATTACGAAACATTTGAGCATTTCCAAACCCTTCTCCTTGCCCTTGATACATCAAACCAAATTCTGCAAATTCAGATATGCAGTAACATGATTTGGGTATCAATTGACATATTTTATTTCAGAGGAATTATTCTCAGTTCATACACAAAGGTCCTGCTATAACCCAAGCAGTTCAATATTAGAAAGCTTATGGACAAACAAGCCTTTGATTTCTGACACACTTTACAAAACATAACAGAAATGATTTTAGAGCTATCATCCCAAGAGGCATCTTATATATCATAACCAATCATTTCTAAATGTTCAGTAAAATTGAATCCATTGCACTTGTATTTGATATCCAAACTTAGGTCAATCTACTTGCAGTGACAAAAACATACCAGAAAAATTGGTACATCAGTTAACCTTTGACATATTAGAAAAACTGGTACATCAGTTGACCTCTGACCCATCACTTACCTCTAACAGATGATTGGTCACTGGTCTCCATAGCACCTCTACTCGATGCAGATTGACTAACCCTGTTTCCAAGAGCTTGGCAACAGCAAATAGGGATGGTTCCTGTAGAAAAGAACAGAAAAATTTTGTTTTGCATTTCTCCTATTAAAATTCCAATTTAAATATAATGTTTATGTTATGTTACAAGGATGATTTAAGATTAGTTTTACTACTGTAAATTGATAAGCTATGAAGACATTTCATTCAAAGAGACATGTTGCACCTTCACGAAAGATTTGATTGCTTTTCAAGTTGTCAGTAGCTAGTGTATGTTCAAGATCATAAATATACCTCAAACTACCCATCCATAATTTTATATATATATACATTTATATAAAATATGAAACAAGATATATTTAAATATCATATTATCACCACTATCATTGTACCAGACCAAAATAAATATCTATAAGTTGGGACTTATACAAATTAATAAACTTGTAGATAAATAAACTAAAGGTTTAATTCTCTCCAAGTCATGATTTAATTAACAAATGAATATGAAATTTCTTGTTTCTAAACAAAAAGAAATAGTTCTGATAGTTGTTTTGTAACTACCAAATATAAATAAATAAAAGTGTTTTTATCAATGAATCAGATTTTACTATTCAGATAAAACAGTTTAATCAGTGATTGTGTGTGATTTTTTACGTACTTCAAACTTGTTTGTAAATAATTTCAACATTACAAATAAACTAGTAATATCACACAAACATTCATTTTCTCGTGTTGCAGTTACTGTAAGGAAATGAAATTGAAATACTTTGGGACATCTGAATCCAAAGACTCTTGTAGAACATATCATAAAGACAACTAGCATTAAAAGTTAAAAAAAAAATATCATAGGTGTGACTTTTTACTTTAACAACATTGCATATCTCATTTTGTTTTATCCTTACAATACAGTTTAAACCCTGGCCTACCTTATCCTTCAAAAGCAACATACTGAACTACTTAATGCCAGTACTGAAATCTTTATGGTATAATAATTATATAAAACACAAAAGGGAAAATACTTCACATTATTCAAAAAGAAGAAAGTCACTCAAAATTATTCAAACTTAAAGAAGTATTAAAATTAAAGAAACAAAAAATGTAGACTGGGTAAAATTAACAACATGTATTTTTTTGTGTTGGTGTTTTCAAATTCTAAAGATGATATGCTGAAAACAGTGAAATATTTTACAGCTAGACTAGGAAATCCAAGATAAAGGAGTATCTGCAGACCTGTAGCTTACTGGTCTGATTTTACATTGGGATAGATGAACAAAGAGGGTAGTCAATCATATTTTTTTTCATACCAATGAGCTATGGATTTGCAACTCATATAAAGACAGAACCTAATTTGCTTAGTTATACTGAAGATTTTTTTGTACATCTAGTTTATAATTCATTATTTTGCACTGAAAAAAAAGTTCCAGTAAAATGTATATATATATATTCATTTTATTTAAGGCTAGTTAAATGGTTCCCAGTACCTGGTTATATATGCTAGCTTTTTTCACTACACAGCTTTGATTTTCTTGCATCTGTCTAATTGTACTATAATGGATATAATATGTACAGTATAATATTCATCACTTAATTCTATCAATATTCATCTGAATACATGATAGTAAGAATTGCCTATCACATCCAGTATTATTGGTACCTGATTAGGTTAAAGTACATTACCCACAATTCAGTGTATCTGTATACCCCCCCCCCCCCCCCCCCAACAAAACAATACTCTTTGGATTGTCAGATAACAAAAGACATGGATTAGGCGGGTGTCACTGTACTTATGAACTTATGACTAATATCATGCACTGAAACAAGCTTATAGAAATAAAGCAAACATTCATTGTAACCATGTTCTTAAAACCTGCAAACATGGCAGACTTAAATGTATGATAACATAAAAATAATTAACACACAAATCTTGTCCATTTTCTCATCTTCCTCGTTTCCAAAACCTGTCATGTTAAACAAGAGAAGAAATATACAAAACTTAAACATCTTCTTTTTTGGTCTTTTTCCTACCTCAAAATCCACTGGGAAACATCACAATTACACATTTTTCTTTTTGTTTTAAATATCTGGGCTTTTTTTTTCTTTCATGAAGTAACTCTTGCTTTATATGCATAAATATAAACTGTATCATTATTATAGAGATGGGTTAAACTCATCACATATGTACTTAATGTAATGATGATGATGACAATATATTAAGACTTTAATAAACTACTGTATAAGCAGAAATTTTAGTGAGGATTCAATTTTAGCGAGAGTGTTGATCGAGATCGCTAAAATTGAATATCGCTAACAATTCATACCACATTGGAGCTTACTATTTTTAGGCATCACAAAATCGCTAAAATTACTTAAATACTGCTTATTTAGGAAAAATCTTTAAATTTGCATCTTGATTAATGCTAAAAATTTCACTTATATGCTATATAGGTCTTTGACTATATCACACTATCTACAGTTTATTTGCACTATAATATGCTCAAATTTCAATTTTCATTGGTATTAATACAATGACATAAGCAATGACATAAGAATATACTATAATGACATAAGAATATACAGTACTGTTTACATATTTAATGAAATTCTATTCCTGCATAATCCTGTCTAATTAAGCTCTTCATGATAATCTCTGAAATATAATTAAGGTGGTTTGACATAACCTACAACTCAGGCCAAATAGGGATCAGCATTGAAGTCGGATTGCACCATCAAATTTTATCAACATTTGAAAGTGGTATTATTGATATCATTAATAAAATTTTAATGTACAATATTTGAGGTTGACGGCATTCTCATGAAATTGTATTATGGAAGAATATATCTACACATAGCTACAATTCATCAACAACCATTCAATAATAATTTATTTTCAGCTTAAATGAAGTTTACATTATACACATAGATAATGAAATGTCATATAGCATTATATAGCAATTAAGTGTCTGCCATGTTTGATTATATACAGATTTAGAGAACAAGGTCACATAAGGTCAAAGGTGACTAATCATAGTGAAAAACCTACAGCATCCCATGAAAAGTAGAGTACCTATTAATTAAAATAAAACAGGTTCGTTACTAACAATGGCACTGAAAACATAGAAAAGCTAATGTTAGAACAACAGGTGCAAAAAATATAGCAAGTCATTCTAAAACAAAATAATTGTTACTGATGAAATCAATCTTTAACATTTATTACCAGAAACCTGCCAATCATTAAATCTCATTCACTCTTTAAATTAAAGCAACCATCAACACCATATCATAAATAACATACATGTACATGTATCTTCATTTTTGCACAACCAAAAATCATTGAAGAATATACTGAGATAAAACACATGTATACATATAGCATAACAAAAATTAATGACCATTCATGTACACAATATAATTCCATGCAGATTACTTTTTCATTCCAATTAACACAGACCCAATGTGTCTCTATAATATATCCTATACCAAAGTAAAGCATTAATAACTTGCATAAAGTTGAAGTTGTAAACATGTCCCTAAATTAAACAAGAGGCCCATGGGCCACATCGCTCACCTGAGAACATTGGCTAGGCAAAAGCACAAATCAGTTCAGTATTGAAAAGATTACCCGGGGAGGGGGGGGGGGGACTTGAATTTTAAACTACTGATGATGTTTCCACGTCAATATAACAAATGGCTTTGTTGTACTTGAGAATATTTTTTAAAAAATTTCCCATATATTCCTTTGTAAAAATTTGATCCCCCATTGTGGCTCCTCCCTATCCAAGGGGTCATCATTTGAACTTAAATCTACACTACCTGAGGAGGCTTCCATATCAATATGACTAAACATAGCTTTCCTGTTCTTGAGAAGACATATTTTTTCTATATGTTCTTATGTAAAACTTTCGATCCCCCAATGGGCCCCACCCAACCCCTGGGGGTCATCATTTGAACAAAATTAAATTAACACTACCTGAGGATGCTTCCATATCAAAATGACTAATCATGGTTTGCAGTTCTTCAGAAGAAGAAATTTTCCTATATATTTCTATTTAAGACTTTGATCCTCCATTGTGGCCCCATCCTACCCACGGGGGTCATGATTTGAGCAAAATAGAATCTACACTACCTGAGGATGCTTCCACATAAATATGATCAATCTGGGCTTTGCTGTTCCTGAGAAGAAGATTTTTAAAATTTTTCCTATACATTTCTATGTAAAACTTTGATCCTCCATTGTGGCCCCAACCTACCCCCAGGGGTCATGATTTGAATAAATTTAAATCTACACTACCTGTGAATGCTCCCATATAAATATGAACAATCTGGGCTTTGCTGTTCCTGAGAAAAAGATTTTTTCTATATATTTCTATGTACAATTTTGATCGTCCATTGCAGCCCCACCCTACCCCTGGTGGTCATGATTTTAACAAACTTGAATCTACACTACCTGAAGATGCTCCCATATAAATATGACTCATCATGGCTTTGCTGTTCTTGAGAAGAAGATCTTTAAAGATTTTTCCTATATATTTCTATGTAAAACTTTGATCCTCCATTGTGGCCCCGCCCTAGCCCCAGGGGTCATGGTTTGAACAAACTTGAATCTACACTACCTGAAGATGCATCCATATAAACATGATTCATCATGGCTTTGCTGTTCTTCAGAAGAAGATTTTTCCTGTATATTTCTATGTAAAACTTTGATCCTCCATTGTGGCCCCACCGTACCCCCAGGGGTCATGATTTGAACAAACTTGAATCTACACTACCTGAAGATGCTCCTATATAAATATGACTCATCATGACTTTGCTGTTCTTGAGAAGAAGATTTTTAAAGATTTTTCCTATATATTTCTATGTAAAACTTTGATCCTCCATTGTGGCCCCGCCCTACCCCCGGGGGTCATGATTTGAACAAACTTGAATCTACACTACCTGAGGATGCTTCCATATAAATATGACTCATCATGGCTTTGCCGTTCTTCAGAAGAAGATTTTTAAAGATTTTTCCTATAGATTTCTATGTAAAATTTTGATCCCCCATTGTGGCCCCACCTACCCCCTGGGGT